TTAGCCTTGAGTTTGGGAGTTTGATTCTCTAACCTGAGAAGTGCTGGTTCTTGCCTTCCCAGCTTCAGAATACTGTCAGGCCTGCCTCCATTCAAATCCCAAGAAAGAAAAACCCCAACTCCATTGAAGTAGAGAAGAGGTACTTTTACTGAGTTTGAAATGATAGCAGTGAAAGAAAAGCAAGATCTGAGACAAAAGGCATGAAAGTTACATAGTAAATGTTTCCCCAAATCCCTCCCCCCATGGACTCAGGCTGAATGTCCAATCATGTGTCATGTGGGGCACATCTTCAGGTATTTTCATCCATCTAGAGTTCCAGGATGGTTGGCCTTGACTGATGGTAAACAATTCAATTTAGCAGCGCAGTAATTTATGAGAGCAAACCTCCATTTTTATTCACATGGGCCTTCCTCACACCAGCTCTCTTCCCTGACCCCAATGCCATGCCTCCCCTCCCCATTATTATGGCAGCAGATAGCAAGCAAGCATCAAAGGGAAAACCCATGCTGGAGATCCGGTTGACAAATACAGACATTTAACAGTATCCCACAACATTGTGATTAGCAAGTTAGTTAATAATCATTTCTTTATTCAGGTAGTTAGTCAGTTAGTCAGTCACCCAGTTATTGGATGTATATGGCTGCTCAATTTGCAAAAACAATTCTGGATTACTGGTGTATGATTAAAAATACAAAAACAAAGGAATCAAAACAAAATATAATAAACATGTCAGGTTCCGAAATAACAGACTCCAAACGATAATGATGATTGGAAGATTCTTTATCTCTATCCTGTACAGACTGACATCTATTAACAAGAAAAAGGGAATATTGTTGGAGCTATCGCTCTGTGCTCCCCAACACCTTATATAAGCCATGTGAACAATTATCTTAATCACCAGCTCCACCCCTCCACCCCTCCCACGCGCTCCTAGTTCACCCACCGGATAACCGCCCACATCCTGGCTTGCCTCAGCTGTGCATTGGGATGTTGGCAGCAAGCCACCATCACCCCTGGGCCATCCCCTCTCGCGTTCTGCCTGTCTTCATTCATTTCCTCCAGCCCAGCCTTCAACATCACAATCAGACCAGTCTGTGTTTGAGAGTTGCTAGAGGGTTGCCAGCCACCCGATTAGGTCATTGGGCAGCGCCCAGCAGAGTGCCTCTCAGCTGTTCTGTGGAGTGACAGCGTGGCCCTGGCATGAGAGAGGCAGGTGCTGGCACAGCTTCTGGAGCACTCTGGGCCAACAAGGACCAGTGCTCCAGTTCAGAGCAGACACAGGCGGCATTAGGACGTAGTAGCCGCGCTGGGGAAAGGAAATGGGTGACTGACTGTTCTGCCTGCCGGAATGGTGGCCCCGAAGCAGCAGCTGCACCGGGGCTGACATGTGCCCCCCCACCAACCGGACTGCATCTGGAAACAAAGATTATGATGAGTGATAATCATGGTTAGGGGCTCCGGGTTTCCCTGGGTTCTTCCTGTGTAATCTAGCGAGCAATCTAGGGGCCCTCATATCATCCACAGGGACCCAGGAAGCTTCTGCCAATGGATACCCTTTCCACATAATTAAATGCTGAAGTTCTTTCCTGTGCCAGCAAGCATCCAGTATGTCGTCCATCTCATAATGTTGCTCCTCTCCCACCATAGTGGGAGGTGGAGGGGCAGGGCCCCTCAGTGTGGCTACGTGGACTGGTCGGAGCAGGCTGCAATGGAATACTGAATGGGTCTTTCCCAGCAGGCGGGGAAGCTGGAGTTGCACTGTTACCGGATTAATGATCCGTACAATGGGGAAAGGGCCTATATATTTAGGACCTAGTTTCTTACACGGTATGGGTAGTTTCAAGTACTTAGTTGAAAGGTATACTGATTGACCCACCCTGAATGTTGGTGGGGCACGTCTCTTTTTATCTGCTCGCTTTTTATATTCCACAGTCACCCGATCCAGGGCTTTCTTTACCATCCCCCACACACCTTTCATTCGCTCTGTCCATTTCTTGACCCCTATATTGGTCGGCTCAAAACAAAATTAAAGGAGGCCAACCACAGCACTTTCCCTTGCAAGTCCTTTCATTTCTGGATGGGCTCACATTGGTTGGATGGCATAAATGGATATATAGCAGGCTTTAAAACTGTTCTGAGAGTGGTTATGAATGGTTCTTTGTGAAATCATAGAGAAAGATCAAATACGGTATGGTGCTATAAGGTTCATTCCTGCATACCCCAGTATATTAATGTTTGGATGAAATGATAGAGGGAATCAGTGGTGTGATTCAGCCAGTTCAGACCGGTTTGCTAGAATCGGTAGTTAACTTTTTGTTCAGTTCGGCAAATTGGGAGTCAGCATTTAAGTGTGCTGCGCAAGCCGCTGAGAAAACAGTGAGCAGGCCATGGAGGTGGCAAGAGCAGCGGCGTCAGCTGTAGTTGACTTTGAACTTGCTCTCGCCACCTCCATGTCCTGCTTGCTGCTCTCGCAGCACCTTGTGCAACACATTTAAATTTAGCGCGCTTCACAATGGGGGAGATGGCATCCCCTCCTCCTCCTGGAGCCTATTACGACATGAAGCATCAGCCGCAGCCAGGCTGGGCCAGTGTCTCATGGCAGAGAGAAAGTTGCATGTCTCTCTGTGCGACCCAGGTGCGCGCAGCAGCAAGTAGCGCTGGAAGAAGTGCCCGTGGGATGAGAGGCAAGTACAGGGGCGCGTCCCTTCCGCTCTGGAATATGGAGCAAGTCTCCATCCCTGCCATCACCCTTACCTTCTCAGGCCACGTGAGGAGTGTCAGGGAGGCTGAGGGGCACGGCCAGCCAGCTGGCAGGGAGCCACAGCAGAGGGACGAAAGAGCTTTATTTATCTGGGATAATCTGAGTATTCTAAGGACTGTCTCTGGCTGCTCTGGGGTTCCAATTAATGTCCACTGACCTTCTCCTGCCCATCAAGGGGAGCCCATGGCTCTCAGGGCCACCCTGGGGCTTCTCTCCGAGTGGGACATTTTCTGAAAAGTGGGGATGGCATTCATTGCCCTCCCATCAGCCTGGAAAAGGATAGGAGGAAAGAGTTTTCTTTGCCATTTCCCTCCTCCTCTCCTTAAGGAGAAACAGGGCCATTTGGGGGTTACGCAGGAATCAGGGGCTGTTCCAGTTCATCTGTGGAGGGGGGTACTTTTATTTTATTTCCTTTTTTTTCTTATGTCATAGTTTATAGAGTAATCTTTTTTATTCATAATTTATATAATGTATAAATAAAATCAAAATTTATATTTATATAAATTGAATAGAATAAAGGATAAAATGATACACATATAAATCATAGGCTCTATTGGAATAATCTGTTTAGGCCGAGTCTACTTCTTGTGTAGTGCATTCCCTGATAGACAATTGTCCAGTCTGCAATTTGACACATTCAGCAAACATCAACCTTGTTTTAATAATTGTTCCTTGAGCTTATGGAAAGTTAGCACCCACCTCTCTCCTAGAAGAATGAAATATTTTCAGATATATTAAAAAGGAAGAATATTATATTTCCCTACATGAGAAATGAAGAAACATGCTCTTGGAAAGCAGCCCCCACCTTTCTTAATAGCCCTCAGCAGATGTCAGCACTTAAGAGATAAAGAGATAGCTAGCTCTATTCATAAGCAAGATCCAACAAAGGTAGGAGTAGGCCTCAGGCACAATAGGAATTGTTCAACACTCCTTCATTGCATCACCCTCAGAAACATCAACCAAACTTAGCTCAGACAAACTCCTAGGATTTGTACATGGCCCCATGGGAGTCTGACAACAGCCAATAGAATACATATTCTTGCACAGGAACAGGAAGTTTAAGTGCAAAGCCCAAGAGAAGGTATAAAAATCCCTCACTCTCAACTCCATGTGATCAGCTACCCAGAATCACACGTGCTTGATGTTTCTTTCTCCCAGTTTGGGACTGAACCAGATGGATATTTCTTCCAACAAGCTTCTTCTGTGCACTAAGATCCTGATAGTCAGAAATTACTTCCATATTCCCCATTGTCTTTTCTCAAAACTAAACATATCTAGTTCCCTCAGTCTCTCACAAAACTAAGTTCCCAGTTCCAATCATAAATCATTTTGCTGAAATAGGAAAAAAACAGGTTTATATTATCATAGGAGATATAGCAGAGGTCACGTGATAGTGCTGTATATTGTTTGTAAGAATGGTAAATAAACTAGATTCAGTACCTGGAATGATAGAGGTATATGGGCAAGCTACAAAATTTCATTTTAATGTATGCAAATTAGTGTACATTCAAAGTGACAATAAAGTTATTCTAATCTAATCTAATCTAATCTAATCTAATCTAATCTAATCTAATCTTGGACCCCATCCACGTCCTTCAGCTCCACTGCACATGCAGGACAAGCCTCCCGCAATGGCCAACCTGACCCTGGGCGAGCCGGATTGCTTCAGGTATGAGGAGCCTGGCCTAAGGTTTCCATCGCCCAGGTTTCCGGAAGATGATGGGAACTGCAGCCGGCTGCAGCTGAAGAGTTTAGCTGAGCCACAAAGTTGAACACGCCAGTAAAGCAGTGGTGCACCACAAGAGAGGAAGTGTCCCCCACCAAGTGAAACCTGAGTCACTTCCCAGAGTTGGACATCTCGGGACGCCCAGCTTTATTTTCCGCTCTTCCGCAGTGGAAGAGAAAGCTGCCAAAGCCCACGGGGCAGTGCAGGCTGACTCTGGAGGCTGCTTCGGAGTGAAGATTCCCCGAATTCCCCGATCCAGGGCAGGGATAGAAAAGAGGCAGCCTCTGCTTGCCTCCCCCCTCCCCCCTTGTCTTGACATTCAGGCCACCTAGCAGTCCTAACATCAAGCCCTAAACCGTTCGATATATCAATTTTTTGTACTTATGTTTGATGATGGATCTAGCCCAATAACTCATAGACAAATTTCTCAATTGGATTCCTTTATTGCAGGCCTAGATAAATCCTAGGCTTTGTAGAGCCAGAGGTCACTGACCTTAGACCTTTCTCTTTCAGGTACACATCTGGAACAACTAGAATACCTCATGGTGAGAGCTATTATACCCAGGAGGAGGGGTCAGAAGGTAAGGAGTGGCTATGGGAGTGATGGGATATGTGGTTAGTTAACCCCTACAGAGCCGGGTGTCCAGGGTGGCAATACAGTTAGACATTTACCATGACAAAACCCCCTCTAAATGTCTAACTGGGTACAGGTATACAATGGTTACATACATACATACAAGTTATATACATGCATATGCGTAGGTTACATATAAACACATATTTTTGACATGAGGTATGCATGCTGTTTATGTGGTAAGGGCTTTGTGAGTATGTCTGCAGTTTGTTCCTCAGTATCGCAGTGTACAGCCTTAATGAAACCTATTTCTGAGAACTGCCTGACGTGTTTGCATTTGATGTCAATGTGCCTTGATCGCTGACCTATGGCATCGGCTCTTGAGATTTCTGCTGCTTTGTTATCTTCGTGAATGACTATTGGGTATGAGGGTTCAGTCCAAATACTGCTGAGCAGGTCGTCGAACCATACCAGGTTGTTTGCGGCCTTGGATAGGCAAACGAATTCCGCTTCTGTGGTTGAGGTGGCTACCAGTTTCTGCTTCCCTGTATACCAATGAATGGGGCAGTTGTTAAGCAGCAGCACATAGCCGGAAGTACTTTTCCTGCTTTTTATGTCCCCAGCCCAATCAGCATCAGCATAGCAGGTTAGTTTCAGTTTCTCGGATATTTCTGGTTCGAGGCAGAGCTGGGCATTTATGCTGAATTTTAGGTACCTAAGCAATCTTTTGATGGCGTTCCAATGGGATATGGTAGGCTTGCTTACGTGCCTAGATAGTAAGTTAACGGCTAAGGCAATGTCGGGCCTGGTCCAGTTGGCTATATACAGCAGTGACCCTATAGTTGATCTGTACAACTTATTGTCAGCGAAGGGTTCTGATTCATTGTACATGCTCTTCAGGAACTCTGGCTGCATGGGAGTTTCACTGGTTTTGCCTCAGACATGTTACACTTTGATAGTAACTCGATGATTTTTTCTTTCTGGGAAAGGCGAAACTCTTTATCAGTTTTTATCACGTGAACTCCTAGATACTTATTGATTTTGCCTAGCGATTTCAAGGAGAAGTGGCTCCCCAGTTCAATGGTGAATTTGTCACATCTGTCCTTATGCTTGCCAATGTACAAGATGTCGTCCACGTAAACGAGTATACCTTCGAATGAGTTATTTTCTTTCTTTGTAAAAAGGCATTTGTCGGCTGAGGTGGCTTCAAAGCCCATGGATCTGAGAGCCTTGGCTAGGCAATCATACCACCTCTTGCCTGACTGTTTGAGTCCATATAGGCTTTTATTCAGCAGCCAAGTCTTGTTCTCCCCTTCATTATATCTGGGTGGTGCTTTGACGTATATTTCTTTATCCAATTCAGTGTGAAGGTACGCAGTCTGTACATCGAATTGGAATACTTCCAGCCCTAGGATGGTGGCCACCACCAGGGCACTTTTGACACTTTCGGCCCTGACGGTAGGCGAGTAGGTGTCGGTGTAATCTTCGGGGTATCTCTGGGCAAAACCCTGTGCAACCAGTCTCGTCTTGTACAGGGCCTTGTTGTCCTCTAGTGTCTTGACCCTGAACACCCATTTGGTTCCTATCGGCTTTTTGTTCTCTGGAACTTGAGCAGGTGAATACACTTGCAGGTTCCTGAGGCTCTCCATCTCCCTCTCCATGGCTGATATCCATTTCTCTCTCTCTTCCTGGGGAAGGCCAAGTATGTCCTCATATGAATTGGGTGTGGTGTGGTTGTTATGGATGGTCATGACGTAATCTTCCAGCCTCTTTGGTAGCTTGTTCCTGTTCTCTCTGATTGGTCTACTGGGGGTTGGCTCGGTCTCTTGCATGTTGTCTGCCTCTTTGTTTGTCAGGTTATCTAGCTTCAGAGAGGGAAGCCCTTCTTTCCACTCTTTGATGTTTACTTTATAGTGGTTGGTTTTGTGTGCTTCCACCTTCTCTTCCCCCTGACCATGTTCGAGTGTGTTTCTATTGGCGAGGATGTCATTGGAGTGGACCCTCGACCAGTTTGCGTTTTCGTGAAAATCAGCAGGCCTGGATACGACAAACCTGTTGTTGTTGTCGATGAACCTGTAGCCCTTAGTGCCTGGTTCGTAACCCATGAACCTCAGTCTCTTTGATATTTTCTCTCCCTTCTTTCTCAGTTGTCTGGGGATGTGGACATCAGCTGGGGCGCCGAATATGTGCAGGTGTGCAATGTTGGGCTTTCTGTTATATAGCATCTCATATGGGGTCTTATTGATGGAGCTTGACCACAGTCTATTTAGAGTGTAATTGGAGTAGTGCAATGCCTCTGACCAAAAATGCTGCCCCATCCCAGCATCCTCCAAGGCGCACCTCATCATTGTTTGCAACACTCTGTTTTTTCTCTCTACGATCCCGTTCTGGAAGGGCGAGAATGACGAAGAGGTGTAGTGCGCTATGCCCCGCTCCCTCAGCCATCTTGTGAATTCCTTGGCCATAAACTCCGAGCCCCTGTCTGTCATTATTTGCCTTATTTTCATATTGTGTTGCATTGCTATTCTTTTGTGGAACTCTTTAAATCTTTGGAACACCTCGTTTTTGTGTCTGAGAGAATAAACATACCCATATCTGGTAAAGTCATCCACAATGGTGAGGAAGAATTGCTTCCTATGCCCGACAGATGGTTTCAATGGCCCTACCAAGTCCATATGTACTAATTGGAAGGGGGACCCGGTGGTTCTTTTTGACCTTTTGGGTATGGCCTTAACTCTGATCTTTGAACACTTAAAGATTGAACACTCCAGGTAATTTTCACAGTTCTTTACTTTGAGGCCTTCGGTACACTCTGACATTCTTTTTACAATAGGAAAGCTGATGTGTCCCAGCCTTCTGTGAAGGAGGTGGGCACAGTTATCATGCAATGGCTTCCCAATGGATACAGAGTTATTGACATTTTGTTTACATTTGGCTGCCCCCTGCTGTACCCCCTCTGTTTCTGTGTTTTCATCTGCCTCATGGTCTGTACTAGTATTAATGCTTCCTTCCTCTCTTGTGTTGGGTGTGAAGTAGGGTAGGCCCTCATGCATGGTCACTTTTCCTATCTCCTCCCCCTGCTTAATCATGTAGGCCTTTCCATCCTTAAACGTTACTTCGGTGTTTGTGTTATGTGTCAGCTTGGTAATAGCCAGTACATTGTGGGGTATCCCTGGCACGTACAGTACCCCCTCTATTTTTCCTATTTGTGGAATGTGTGTGTTTCCCTTCCCTACTACTTGAACTTTGCTTTGGTTTGCTACCTTTAATTCAAAGTCTGCTTCTGTGAGTGAGTCTAGTAGCCTTGGGTTGCAAGTTGTGTGATTTGTGGCTCCTGAATCCAGAAGCCAAGTGTCTCTGCCTATCTTGTGTTTAGTGTCTGAGTCATCGTGTCTGAGCCCATACATAGAACCCGGGTTACTGTCTCTAGAGTTGTCCCTGCATTCATGATGCCTCCTGGGGTTGGGGGACCATCCTCGCCCCTTTTCTTTGGGGTACCTGCGCTCAGGTGATCACCCTCCTCTATTGTCATTGTGTCTCCTATCCCTGTGATTTCTAGGGCAGTCTCTCCTTAAGTGGTTCCTAGACCCACAAGAGTAACATTCTGGGGTGTTTCTTGTTCTATCCTGAAACTCAACTCTTCTAGTTGGCCTGGGATCCCTCCTGGACAGGTGGCGATCCCTCCTCAGATTGTCCTCTGCAATAAGTTTGTTTGTTTGTTTGTTTGTTTTGAACAAAAAATTTTTTATTGTTTTTTTAAAATTCAAACAAATCAAACAAATCACTTATCTATTTAAACATTTGTGCAACCCCCCCTTCCCTCCCCCCTCCCCCGACTTCCCAGAAGAAAAACAGGGTATAGATTTTACCAAACATACGCTAAAATATGCTAAGTTAATGCAAGACATTAAAACTCCCTAGACCCCTTAACTCCCCTTCTACAGATTATTCATCAACCTCCCTTTAAACACAAAATAACATATAATCCTTTAGCTCTAAGAATTTTTTTAAAAACCAATAACAAACACTAGTAGATAATACATACTTAATCATTTGGCTATTCCTCCTGCTTTTGTGCTCAATATTCAAATATTTTTAACAATAACTAAACCTTAATTAATTATTAATTGAACTCTCAATTCATTTAGTTAATCATTGTAGTTAATCATTAATACATCAATAGTTAGACCAGAAAAAATTAATCTTCCCTTCTTCCTTTCTTTCTATATTTTTTCCAATCTTTCTTCCTCCCTCCTTCTTTTATTTTAAGGAGGTTTTGAATTTTAAGTGGGGGTTGATGTATCTTTAAGACTTGTCCCTTTCTCGGAACCATTTCCTCTGATTTAGAGCCCCCATGTCGACTCTTCTTGCTTGTATAGACAGTCAGTTCATAGAACAAAGAATTAACTCGATCAGTTTGCAAAGAAAGATCCAGTTGCTGCATTTCAATTAATTGTGTGAAAGCCTCTGCCAAATCATCTTTATCCAAAACCTCGTAGAGCTGATCAGTTCCTTCTTCTTTCTGCTTCAAATTATATTTTTGAAAAGTTCTGTCAGTTAATTCCAAAAGGGCAGGAAGATGGTTTGAAGATTCTCAAGGATCAGCCAGTTCCAGCTTCTCTGTCTTGATCAAAATGTCTCCTACATTGTCATTGTGCTTTCCTTCAAAAACATCCTCAGTTGCTTTTTTATCCTCCACCAATTCTGTGAATTTTTGTTCCATGATTGCTGTAAAGTTATTAATAATTTCGATTTGGTTATTCATGGCTTCCTTTATAAATTCTGCAAGGTCTCTAAAAAAAACCTCCTGGATCTGTGTTTCAGCTCTCTGTATCATTTCTAACGCCATTAAAGAGCCTCCACTTTCAGAAACTCCTTCCTTGGAAGCTATATTATTTTAAAAGAATTTTTCTTTTCACAGCCATAAAATCTCTCAAGCAGCTTTCTCAAATTTATTTGTAGTTTATCAAGCAAGATAGTTTTTTCTAGACCCAGCTCTCAAATCCAGCAGTTTAAATCCAGTCTCTGAGCACAAGTCTATTAACAAACACTTTCATTTCCTGCTTTCACTTTCACACCCACAACAAAGACGCCATTTCCAGCTCCAGTTCAGCAAAATCAAATAGAAACAATGTATCCCAGGAATTAAGTATATAGTTGCAAAAGCTTGTTCTCCTGCTTCCGTTCTGTCTGCTTTTTGAAATCAATTAATCTTCTTCTTGAAAGCAGAATTGGTCGCCGGCGTCTGGCTCTGTTTAAACGGAGTCGCCACGGATCCGGAGCTTCAGTGGGCTGAACGGGGAGCTCTCACCCTCCAAGCCCCTGGAATTAATCCAGGGGCTCCCGGGGAGCTCTACCCTCGCCCACCGGCTCTCCTCTCCTTCTTCTCCCGAAGAAGAGGTTTTTAAGCCATCTGACAGCTGATTAGTGCTGTCAGAACAGCTCCAACGGAATCGCGGGGCTGGCGGTCCAAGAAGACGCCGGCAGTGCCAAGCGGAAGTCAATAAGTTTGTTTGTTAATGTGCCTAGCAATAGGTGTTGCAAGCTGAGGCTATCTAGTTGGGTTATGAAGTTGTCCCAACTGCTATCTAAAGAGTTTATGATGATACTTATCATGCTCTCTTCAGTGATTATTTCCCCCCTCTGCATGAGCTCTGCCCTTGTTGTGTTTAATTTTAGTATGTGCTCACTCATAGGGACCCCTGTCTTATGTCTAGCAGAGTGGAACTCTCTAGATATTCTAGTGGTTGTGGCTCTACTCTGGCTGTAAAACAGGCTGCATAATTTTTGTACAATTTCAGATACAGTCAGGTTATCTTCAATGGTAGGATACATGGCAGAAGGAAGAGTAGTTAACATAATACAAAATGCCCTATGGTGAATACAGTCAATTTCCAATGACCAGGGTTTCTGTGGAGGTCTGTTGACTAGAAATAGTGCATTTTCTCTCATGAGAGCAATTTGCAACTGCTGATTCCACTCTATAATATTACTCCCATCTAATTGTAATTTTGCTAAATTGGCATAATTTGCCCCAGAATTGTTAGGGTAGTTACTTATGGACACATGGTCCATTGTGTGATTGAACTTGCAATAAGGCTTTGGGATGTCTGTTGCTAGTCTGTATTTACTTGTCTCTATGTAACTTGCTTCTCTTGTTGAAGGCGGCGACTGGGCATGCGCGAAACCCGTTTTGCGCCGGAGTCCATCAAGTGAAGGTCCTGCTGCTGGAGCTCCCAGGCCTAGGCCTAGGCCTGTCGGGGGAAGGCTGGACTCACCCCCGGTGAGTCCGGAGTCTCCTCTGGAAGGTGGATGGCATTGCAGGATGGCTGGATCCCCGACGAAGAAGGGAAGAAGGTGAGGAGGCGAAGCGGTCGCAAGTTGAGGACTTCTGTGGATCGGCAGTGCAGAGGCAGCGGAGGTCAGAGGTCGGTGATCTTCTGTGCTTGGCGGCACGGTGGCGATGGCGGTGGTGGCGGCGGGTCCTGCCTCGTGTTCGTCGGTCCCCGGTCGTGCGAAGAGGTCTGGTGGAGGTCGTGGGATGGGTCAGTAGCTGGTTCTTCTCCTTGCCCTCGGGTCTTGTGTAGTTGGTGCTGCGGGTGGCGGGTTCGAATCCTGAGGTTGATCATTCCTGCAGGTAGCCGGGATTTGGCACTGGTTGTTGGTGTGCACGGTCTCTCTGGGTGGCTGTGATTCAGTCGCCCGGTCGTTGTTGGTTGTCCTGATGTCCTTATGGCTTCCAGGATTTCTTTTTCGGCTTTTGACTGCTGCGGGAGGCTCAAAAGCGGAGCCAAGCGCAGTGGTGAGGATCTCGATTGCTTTTTGCACCTCAAGATCAGTTGGCGATCTTTGTTTGGTTGGTGCATGCTCTTCGTGGTCGTTTTGTGGGTGCCCCTCATCTGTTTTGGGGTTTGGGCATTTTCACGCCAGGAAATTCAAATCCTGGCTTCCCATTGGTTGGGGCTCATCCCAAGATGGCCGCCGGGAAGAAGGCGCGAAAATGGGTTCGGTCAGCTCGAGGTCATCGGACTGGGATGGCCTACCCCTTTCTGGTTGAGTTTCTTCCTCGGGTGTCTTTGGGGCCTTGATCGCTGCTTCTTGCTGCTCGAGAAGGCTTTGAAGGTCCGTGATGAGGTTTTCCTTGTTGTTGCTTGCCTCCATCAGTTTCAGGATAGAGAGTTTAAATCTGTTCATTTTCTGCGTCGTTTTTTCTTCCAGGATGGTGGCCTTTTCGGGTGACCTCTCCTCGTCAGATTGTGAGTCCAGGCTGGAGTCCTGCTCGCTCTCAGCTGTCGTTTCCTCCACTGTGGTGCCCTTGGATGCCAGTAGCTCAGTCATCTTTTTGGTGAGTGCTCTTGTCTGTACTCTGTTCGTTTCTTCAGGGCAAACGTTGGGTTCAGTCATCATTTGGAGTTATGGGCAACCATCCTCTGCTACCATATTGTTTGATGATGGATCTAGCCTAATAACTCATAGACAAATTCTCTTTCTCAATTGAATTCCTTTATTGCAGGCCTAGATAAATCCTAGGCCTTGTGGAGCCAGAGGTCACTGACCTTAGACCTTTTTCTTTCAGGTACACATCTGGAACAACTAGAATACCTCGTGGTGAGAGCTATTATACCCAGGAGGAGGGGCCAGAAGGTAAGGAGTGGCTATGGGAGTGATGGGATATGTGGTTAGTTAACCCCTACAGAGCCGGGTGTCCAGGGTGGCAATACAGTTAGACATTTACCATGACAACTTAAAATGGTCATTAGGGTAGACAACATTATTTGAATTCCACCACTGCCTAGAAGACAGAAATAAAATCTAGGCAATCCTATTAAATTAGTGAAATAAACTGAAAAATGTCAAAATGAGATTTAACTGAGACAAATTGAAAGTTATTTACTTAGGAAACAAAAATCAAATTCACAAATATAGAATGGGGAATACTGGTTTAGTAAGAGTACCTATGGAAATATTCTTGCAATAGTAATGAATTAGAAAGAGAATATGAATTAAGAATGGGATGTGTACGAAAAAGATAAATGCAACTTTAGGTTGTGTTAGCAGAAGTATATTTCTAAATTTATTTCTAAATTTACTACTTTATTTTTTGTTAATCCTACTCCATCTTATGTACTGGGTCCAGTTCTAGGTACTACACTTGATGAAGCATTTAGAAAACTGGTTCAGAGAAGACCAAAGAAGTTTAAAGGTAAAATGAACTACCCCCAGGGATACGACTGATCCCGGACCTCCGGACCTTCCGCCGGGCCCTGAAGACTTTTTTATTTCAGCAAGCCAGGCTGGGTTAAAAATCTTTTAATTGGGGAATTTTATGGGAAGCCAAAGATAAATTTAATTTCGTTTTAAAGTATTTTAATATTTGTATTGTGTGTTTTTAATTTTGGCTGTTCACCACCCCGAGTCCTTCGGGAGAGGGGACGGTATAAAAATTAAATAAATAAATAAATAAATAAATAAATAAAATAAAATTTAAGGTAAGGTAAAAAGATTAAAGGATCCAAGCAGTTTTATATTTAAGATTAGGGGTGAGTAATAATGATAGCACTGTTTAAATATGTGAAAAGATGTCATACTGAAGAAGATCTGTTCTCTATTATTTCAGAGTGCAGGATATAAAATAATGGGTTGAAGTAGGCAGAAAAACTTGGTAATAGTAACAGCAGTTCAACATTGGAACCAATTATTCCACAAGATTTGTTCAAGCGAAAGCTAGACAGCCATCCGTTTCAGAGGCTATAATTTGGATGTTTACACTGAAAAAGGGATTGGAGACAAATATCTAAATGTCTCCTTCGAAGTCTTAAGATTTAATTATTTGCTTTTATATTACTTTTCCCAAACCTTATTTCAGGCTGAAATAATTCTAAGATCATAGCAAACTATTTAAAGTGCTTTATGTAATCTGAAGCTCCCAAAGTTTCTCAAAATCTTTCCATGAATTAGGGTGTAGCATCACCAAGAGCACTTCCTAAACTTCCCAACACAGACACAAACAAAGTGCTCCCCTTACTATTTCCAAGTGGCGGTAGTCCTCCATCAAGAGTTCATAAGCAGAACACTGGCAAATAATGAAAGATGACTCTTTCATGAGGGTGGCTTTTCTCCAGTTCTTGCACTGGCAACACTTTGCTGGCACACTCTGCCCTGACTGTCAAGACCTATTCTGCCTTATTGACCAGGCTATTGGCTGATGCTATCTTACTGATTTAATTCAGGACAACTGAAGGAAGCAGACTCTGATGGATTCCCCAGATTCATTTCCTTTCCTACTGTGTATCACCCACTGGTGGGAAAAATAGTCATTAATAGCTTTCTGTAACATGTTTGAGCTCAAGTAGAATTTTGACAGGTGGCTAAACCCATGAATTTATATCTGATCAAAACCTGGTACTGAGATGACTGATCAAGGAGTGGGGGACAGACCATCTGCTTTGATAGGAAGACCCACCAGTTTATGGATCAGATACTATAGTTGATCTATGGAGGGAGAGTTCCCAGATAGGGATAATCAAGTGGAAAGAATCCCTAGTTCCCTAGGCAGACCTCCTCACTACTGATGGTCCACAGAATGAAGACAGGCTATGCAGCACCTCTGAACCAGCACAAGAAATGAGTGACACGACTTACGGTTTGATGTCGCAGCGAGATAGCCAGGAAAATAGCGGGCTCTGAGGAGTCCCGCAAAAAACCCAACTGCCGAACCGCCACCGATGGGTCTTCGAACCAGAACTGTCCTGCAGGGATGGGGTAGGAAGAGAGGTGCCTCGGACGACCAAGAGGAACAGGCAAGTTCCTCGGAGGTCAGAGGGAACTCTCTGTGAGTCGGCGGTGGGGGGCAGCAGCCATGGCGGCTGCCATGAAGCTGGGACAAACTGAACTAAGAGACATGCAGGAAGAAAGAGGAAAAGAACAAAGCTCTTTGAAACCGGTTGAGTGACACCAACCTAGGCTTGAAACAACGCTAGAGCAATGATTGTTACTTGTAAGACCCCTAGCCTTAAAACAGCGGCTGTGGATTCGAGGGGCATAGAAGATTTTGAAAAGTAACTTTAGGAGGAAAAGACCCGCTAGGAAATTTATCTTGGTACAGATTCAATTGGAACAAGTAAACATTGAGGCATGCTGAACAGATTGGAAAAATTCTCAAACTAGAATTGGACTTTGAAAAAAGAAAAAAGAAAAAGGTAGGGATTCAACACTTTTAAAACTTAAAAGAAGAGAATTAAATTGGATTGTTACATAATTGCAACAAAATGGATACTGGCGTGACTAAGGGAAAGTGTGGATTGCAGAGATAACCTTCTGCTTTAAAAGGAAACACTGTAACTTGCTGTTTGTTTTGGAACACTCTGAAATTACAAATAATAGCCATGGAATTTTGGTGGTGGAGGTTTCTTCTTTGTCTACAGATAGCTTTTTCGGTGGAAAGAAAGAAGAAATAACGGAACTTTTATAACTGTTACTAATTGGTGCAGGAACAAAAGAAGTCAAATGGTGCAGGAATAAAAGAAGGAAAGTTGATGTACTTTGCATGGAATAGATGTAACAAAAAGAATTTTAAATGATACGTGGAGAATTAAATTTGGGAACTTTGAATTTAAAATGGAATATATGTTGATAGACAAGGAAATGAAGAAATAAAATATATACAGTTAGGAAAAAAGAATATAAAAATAGTTTGATTAAAAATGAAAATGTAATGTTTAGAAGAATATTAATTATAAAAAGGAGGTATTTATGGATATATAAGGATGGAAAATAAAACAATGTGATTAAAATAAAAAATAAAGTAAAGATGGATAGTATTGATAAAAAGGAGATTTTCATAGATGAATAAGAATGAATATGAATATGAGAAGAATCCAAGAAATTTTATTGATTTATATGGGGATGTGTTTGATGTAAGAATTAAGTCTCAATGTCAAATTGTAGAAAAAACTGAGAATCATAATATGATTAAACATGAATAACCAATGTATAGATGGAAGATAAAATAAAAAAGGGGGGATTACACAGAGATAAACAGTAAAATTAAGAATATGCTTAATGAATATGTTGGAAACAGCCAAATAATAGATGAATATGCTGGGAAACAGCCAAAAAATAGACGGAGATGTGTTTTTGGGTGTGATAGTAAAATAAAGACAAATATGCTGGGAAACAGCCAAAACAATATGAATATGCTGGAAAATAACCAACACAACAGTTTGTGGCTGTTCTGTTTATCTGAATGAATTCCATTTAAGTGAGGATAAGGTGATAAAAGATCCCTGCCCTCATGTTTCATGTGACAAGGCCATAGAAACTTGTGAGCACCAAAATTAATGCTTTGTGCATGGGATCTTCTCTCTCTCTCTTTCTTTGAGTAATATACAGGTCTTGCAAGTAACCAAGAGATCAATGTAGAAGGAAAATAAATATATAGCCTGTCTTACCCACTAATTAGGTTTCATGGAACTTTGTGAAATGTCTCCTAGCAAATATTATTCATAGCAGTCACTCCAGGACAGATAAAAGCTGTAGATAGTTCTCAACTTATGACCATAATTGAGCCTAGCAATTATAAGTCATGACACACGTCATTTGGGGGGGGGCGGGATTGATACCAGAACTTTCAAACCATGTCATGATGTTGGTGAGCAACCCTCCCAGTTAGGAGGAGGGTTCAAGTAGGGAATTAGTTTGAACTCATTATATAAACATAAGAAGACAAGGTCTGACTCCCCTTGAATTTCTTTGAGCCTTATGTAGTCTTTCCCAGGTGAAAGTTGGCAGTCTGGGGAGATTCCTGTGAAACAGGCATAGAACAATAAGTAGTAGTTGAACTCTACACACGTAGGTCTGGTTATTTGCATTTTATACGTGTGTCCATTTTGGGGGTCTGCAGCAACTTCAAACAGTTGATTTAAGCAACCAGGCATAAATCAAGGACTACCTGTAGATCCTTCTTTGCACAGTGTAATAATCCCTGACCAACTCAGTTCAATTGAAAGATTCAATTCATGGAAGTGCTGAATTGAACAGCTACAGTATGTGCAGAGACAATGAACCTCTGATTTCCAGTTACTAGAAGCCTTCCATAGAAAATGTTAGTAGCTTCAGGCACAATGGACTGTTGATTTGATCAGATAAGTCTTTCTTTATGTAAAGAGAGCTGCACCTGTAATTTAAAAGTACAGCTACAGTATCTAGTGCAAAATGAACCTCACACTTTCAAATTAGTTGACATACTTGAAGACCTGTCAATTTTGTTGTGAAGTTTTGAAGGAGTACAGGCACATAAATACTTGTCTACAGTTTTAATATTTATTATCTCATGCTGCATGAAGATCTGAGGATTAAAATATAACTTTGCAATTTCTGTTGGCTAATAACACCACTTCCAGTCAACCACCTTTCCATTTTCAATGTTTTATTTCTCATTTAAACAAATCAGAGCTTATTCAAATACTTCTATTTCAGGATTCCATACATTATACGAAGCATATTTAGTACAAAGGATGTATGAACTGGAAGGAGCCCTATAGGTCATCTAATTTTAACCTTGTGCACAAATCTATTAAATTAGTGTTTCCCAAACTTTTTCTTTCATTACCCAAAATCACTTATCAGAAATTCCTTTTACTCCAATGTAAAACACTTTAAGTCAATTTAAATGTCCCTGTTGTAGTTGTGTAATGAATTTGTGTACTGTTAGCAAAAAACAACAACCCACCTTTACCCAAAGGAAAGAACAATTAATCAGAACAGCATGCCTCCTGAAGCTGTGGATGCTCCATCACTGGAAGTTTTCAAAAATAGGCTGGCCAACCATTTGGGATGGTATAAGCACTCCTGCCTTGAGCAGGAGGTTGGACTAGAAAATCTCCAAGGTCCTTTCCATGTCCTATGATTCTATAAAACAAAAGAAAATCCAGAAGTTGTTTCCTATAATCTTCTTACCTTTCAAGCAAGACTGAAGCTGGATTTATCTTTTAGATGATTGATAATGATTTTCAAGCTATTTAATATTAATTTAATTTTAAGATGGTTACCTTCTCCCTTAAACTCTCCTTACTTAATCATAAATTCAGGAAATTTATGTATTTTAATATTTTGTTTTATAATATTTATGTTTTACTTTTCAGCTCGTTTTTGACATTAATTCTATGCAACTTCTCTTTCTGTCCCTCACATTGTAAATTGACTGTGGGTTTAATTTCACTTCCCTCTAATTGTGGCAGGAAAATGATCTTTGAACCACCTTTAAATGACATGTCTATTGCCTCTTTCTCAAATCCAGTCCATAGTGGAGGGAGCTTGAAGTTGAACTTAGCAGTTCCAGGTTTAAAGTAGTGTTTTTTCTCTCCTCCCAAACAATTTTCACTCCAGACACAATCTAGCCCAAGTAATTAAATAAGATTCCTGGTACAGTCACAAATTGGAACTAATCCAGCTTCTATGAAGCACTTTGAACTGCTGTGGGCATGCCTTCTAATCTGCATTCTTCTGCCTTCTAATCTGTATTGCTTTCCAAGGCCATTTGCTGATCAAGTATCATACAACCTCCGTATATAAACAAATGCAATGCTCTTTTGATAGCATGCTAGATCGGTGTTTGAAAACAATACTAATATTAGTCCTGTATTGCACAGAAGGTCTGGGAAATAGCCAGGCTCTACAAGCTGTGTGCTTCTAATTCTACCATAATGAATACTATATGGTTGTTGTTGTTTTTTTACTGGCTTGCTGACAAGGAATTTTGCATGACTCTACTTTTTCCTGTTGTTTTTTAATTTTTCATTACTTGGATGAAGCAATACCATTTTGCTTACATCTTAGGCAGCTCTTGGGCTCTGCCAACCAAGGCACAGTACATCCCCTTGTAGCACAATGGTGTGGGATACCTGTGTCACATCAATTTCATCAATTACCTGTGTCATATCAATCTATTATTCTTTTATCTCAATACATTCCATCTTGACATATTACTCTTGAATCTCTTCTGATTCTCTATAAATCAGAATCGTTGCAACAATTCCAGAGTTCACTTCTTCCATTTCACTTCTTTCCATAGAAGAAATATTAACAAGAGTTCTATGTGCTTCTTCATTTAATTCAGGGAACATCCTGGAACCATGGAGGTGCTCCATTCCAATGATCTATCACTTTGGATTCCATTGCTGCTTCAAATGCAAAGATTGAGCACCTGACACATTGTTCTCATCTGTTTTTACGTACACTTTGGAAGATTGCTAAATGGTAATGGTGTCCAGGCATCTGCCTACACGTGCCCAACCCTGCTTCACACCACACTTTTTCCTGCCTGCAAGTAAGACCTGTTGGAAGGGAAAACAGAGCTGGGGCAATCTATCAGATGATTTTCTTATTTGTCCCATATTAAATGTGTAAGGACAGCACCACCCATCAGCCCATAATTAAGGCAAAATAGTGCTCAATTATTGAGGCAGAGCTATTGCTCCTTGCATATCTTTCTGCCATATCTAAGACTGGAGGGAACCACATTTTCGCAGCCATGAGGATTAGCCCTGCATCCCATCCCATTTCTTTTCCTTGTCTCTTTTCATTTTATGTTATTCCTTCTTTAAAAGCCATGATTTGTTGTGCAATTCTCTACTGCTCCCTATTTTAATAATTGTCAGGTAAAATGACAGTAGTATTATCCCCATATATAATTCAGGTTATTGAGAGGACAGTCTCTCAACTTATTTCCCCATTAGTGACCTATGCCATCTTTTAGAGTCATCCAACCATGGTGTCAAAATAACAGCAATGAGAACAGGTTTCATATCTCTTCAATGGTGATTACTGGTAGGTGATGCTATATGTGATTAGTGAGAAACAGCCTTGGATACTTAAAAGATGCAATGAACTTGTGTTTGACATAAAATTAGAACCAAAAGGGTGTCAGCACCAAGCATCACTGTTTGGTGGTATTTAATTCATCATGGCCTTAGAGGTTGAATTCAGGTGTTATTTGAAGAGCATTGACCAAATGTCCCTTCTAACCTAACATTGCTTTATGCTGGTCATATTTTTTCCATAGATTGAAAAGATATTAATAGCCTTCAGCAAATACTTTCCATAAAAGTGAAACCTAATTTCTAAGTGAAGGAATATAGAAGAAGAAAAAGGGGAACATGTTTGTATATTGTAAAACAATCTCTCTCTCCCTCCCTCCCTCCCTCCCTCCCTCCCACACAACCCATCTATCATCTATCTATGTAGTCAGCATCAATCAAGTATTATGTGATATTGGATTGAATTCCAGATGTAATAGATTCATTGTCTTTTCTTTTTTGTTTCTCTTAACAGAAAAAAAAAGAAAACCAGCTTTATTGGATACCTTTATTTATATGCAAAACAGTATACCATTCATGAGAGATATGAAAAAAAGTTCGGATAAAAATCAATTTCTCTATTTGCACTACAAAATATTGCCTTATACAAAGCAACATACATACGTGCAGACGCACACATACATACACACACATCAAAAAACCCTGAAAAAGACTAAAATCTTTGGATAACAGATATGTTCTCTCCCGTGACCCAGACATACTTTTTAAGAGTTTCACAGCAAAACAGCATATAACATTTTCTGCTTGCAAATTTTTTGGTTGTCATAAAAGAAAGTACTCCTGTTTTTCCTTAATATGGAAAAGAAAATTTGTAGTACACACACACACAAAGACAAACAAAACTATTCCCTTATCAGTTATTTCCAAAATACATCTTTAGACAGAATTACAGATCAGAATAACAACAAACATTTTAATTTCTATTTGAAAATAAAATCTTCAAGTGAACTGCTAGTATTTTGATTCCACACACACAAAATAAATAAAGTTATCAAGGATAAATCCAAATATATAAAATACATTTAAAAAGAGGGCATAGGTGCAATAAAACCAGAGCAAAATGAAAACCCACAATCTGGTTTCCAATGAACACTTCCAGAATCAGACATTTATTCCACAGAAGAAAATGTAAACACTTGACTATAGAAAACCAGTTGGCACAAAGTCTTCAACGCAAAATCTTAACCACCCTCAAAAACTAAAAAATTGTCTTGGGGAAAAATAGTCTACTTTTGCTACTTAAATTAAAAAATAAATTATTTTTAACTGCACTCCTGTATCATACATTAAGGTCACCATTAAGGTCACAAGTAAATGAGATCTTTATTATTTTTGGATACAAAGAAAGGGGCACTTGACAGTCTGTTTTATCACTGTGTTTGTTTAGAAAAGAACCCCACCTTCCACATAAGATGTGCTCCTGTTTTGGGCGGCCCGGGGACAAGTCAAGTCTCAATCCAAACCTCCGGAGGGAAAACTTCCATTTCAAGTTTCTCTTTTCGGGCGTGAGTCAGGAAAGCACTTTAAGGCACGAGCTTAAAGCCAAGGGATCTCCAGCCAAGCTTTCGCCGGGTTCTCGAAACTTTGCTGAAAGGGGACCCTATCGCGGGGAACCTTTGAGCGGGGAGGGAAGGTGAAGGAAGGGACAAGCCGAGCCCGTCCATCCCTCAGAGACAAGGGAGCCTCCGGCGGCTTGACCTGGGGAAGGCGCGCCACCTGCAAGGCCGAGCCCCAACGGAGGCGGCTCCAGAGAGACCCAGCGGCCTGTCCATCTTGTCTGTCGACCTTCCCCACGGGTCCTGGTCCCCGGGCGCCTGCCCTACACGTCTAGGACATGGTTGAGATAGGATATGTAGCAGATGGCCAAACGCAGGATCTCGATCTTGGAGAGCTTCTTGTCCGGGGGAAGCGTGGGCAGCAGCTTGCGCAGCTCGGCAAAGGCCAAATTAAAAGCCTCCACCCGGATGCGCTCCCGCGTGGCGTGGGCCGACCGATATTTGGCCGTGGCTCGACGGCGCCGCCGCTTCTCCTCACGGCTCAGCGGCTGCGGCGGATGGGCCGCTGAGCGACCTCCTCCTGCGCTCTCGCCGTTTGGCGCCTCCAAGTCGGAGGCGCAGCAGCTCCGCAGCCCCTTGGCCTCCAGAGACTCCGGGTCGGACGGCGCTGACGACGGGTGGTCCGAGTCCACTGCTTGGTCTGGGCTCAGCATCATCTGCCAGGCGAGGAGGCAAATAATAATAAAATAAAAATAAATACGGGAGTTCAGTCAGTGCTGCCCGTTGAATGTTCTCCCCCGCCCGGCTCGTGATAGGCGGGAAGGGAGCCAAGCACATCGGCTTGCGCCCTTCGCCCGCCCGCCCGCCCGCCTTCCCCGCCACCCCTGCCTTCCTGCTCTAGCCAAGGTAGCGCAGCTTTTGTCAGAAGCTCCCGGTGGGAGCCTGAGCCGGGTTGGTCGCGTGTGCCTGCCGCTTACTTCGCGCTCACGAGCCGGCGGGGCTGAAGGACCTGCTGCTGCTAGGAGGCCTCGCGAGGAGGCTCGCTTGCGCTGCCAAGGCTGAGGGAGAAAAGAGGCTGCTTGACTTCCTTGACTGGGGTGGCGCGACAGGGAGGGAGGCTGCTAACTAAGGGAGGCCTTCCGAGCGAACCTCGGACGCCGCCCGTCCGGCTAGTCCTCGTTCTCATTGCGATTTCCTTTTTTATTCCGTTATCCCCCGAAACGCCATAACATCCTAGCTTTCGTTAAAAAAAACAAAGGTGTTCGTTTTCGTAAAAAACCTTTTTCGTAAAAAAAAAAAAGTTCTCAATGAAGATATTACGATCTAATGATTATTAATAATGATTGGATCAACTGGAGAGCAAATATAGTGGAAAACTTAACTGAAGTGCTTTGTATGAACTTTTATTCTTATCTGAGAAGGCAGTAGTCGCTGTATTGTTTCTGTTGTAATCAATACGACTATTTTTCATTTACATCTCTGTTCACAATGTTAGGCATTCCTAAAAGAACCCCAGAAGGTGTTTTCAACATTCAGGTCCTGATTTCCTTTAGAAGTCCTGATTGCTTTCCCTGGAAAATAAGCAGCAGTGACTTGTCTCGGAGGGCTTTTTTCAGCGAAACCCTAGTGAAAACTTCTGTTTTTCTTGACTCCTCGGCGAGAAAATTCAAGGCGACACATCCTGCCCTTCGATCTAGTTATGTCTGGGTTAGGAGATTTTTCCTGCGCCCGGCCGTGTAGCAAAAAAATCAGTTATTTTCCCAAAGATCCTCAGCAGAGTTTTGAGCTCTTTCTGATCTGGCTTGGGAGGAACGGGTCAGAACTGCTGCCGGTTGGTTCTTGTTTGCCCCACTTCCACCAGTAGCATGAGCCCAAATTTGAGGTGGAATCTAAGGACCCTTCCTGGGATCCCAGAAAGCAAATTCTGAGATGCAAGTGAAAACAACCGGACAACAGAACAAGGACTGTCTCCAGAATGTGGCTGTCTGGAACAGCTCTTCCTGCCTCTCTGCTCGTTGGCCAGTGGGCGTCTGGCCAGGGACCGAACAGTACAGGATGTAACAGATTTGAGAGTGCCCATAGGCACTCAAGTGAGAGTGCCCGTAGGAGGCTACTCAACAACCCCCCCCCCCGCGCCTAATAGTTCTTCGGTAAAATTTTTGAACAGGGACGTAGAGCCCCTTTAGGTTTTAGTTCTAAAGCTACCCATCGGAGACCTTCTGGAAATGGACAGCGGCCCGTTGCTGCCTAAGATTTGCCCAATAGTCCCCGTACGCCTCCTCTCCGGGCAAGTGTCTCTTCAGCTTCAATCGCGCCTGCTTGGCAGTCGACTCGCCTGGGGATATCCATCGACCAGAGCGACCGCTCCATGGGCAGGCTGTGGGCAGGGAGCAAGGTCCTGAATGTCCGCTGCACCATAGTCCCGAGGCTCAAGAGTGTCCCCCATAGAACGAGGTTGGGGCGGGGCTGGGGGGATTTATAGCTCGATGCTGGCTCCATCTGTCAGCATAACCAAGCCAGGGAACTTCCTAGACGCTTTGGCGGCTGGCAAAACCCAAAACAATGCAGCAGCGACAGACAGAGAATAGCCACCTCGTAGACACCCTTATGTGTCTGGGTTGGAGGAGGGGAGGAGTAAGGGCGGGTGGGGGGAGAGGACCTCTGACCAAGAGGGAGGAGGAGAAACTGAGAAAAGAAAGGAATTAGAAACACAGAGTCTTACGTGGGAGATAGTAGGGTGGAGGTAGTAATATAGTTGATGACGATGACGATACTAATGATAGGGAAATGGATGACAAGAAACGGTTTCAAGATACCTCTATCGAAAATCCAAGTGGAAAATATAGATTTTTGCTTTAAGTCTTTTCATTATCAAAGGATACGCATACATATAAACCATTCTAAATCTGCTAAACGGCAAGTGGTGAATAGGGGGAAGAAATAAGAGCAAACTTAACCTACTGAAAAGCAAAGCAGGGCGGGAGACGAAACAAAATCTATCAAACATAGAAAGTATTATTTGGCAAACAATAGACTAGAAGGACTTAAAGTGCCGAAAGATCTACTGGATTTCCCAGCTCCAGTGAGCTTTTCTGTAGACGCTGGATATCCAACCTCAGAAGCGCTACGAGGAGCAGGAGAACCGGGAGACGTATCCGTTTTGAAGCTGCTATCTTTTTTCCTTTGAAGAAGCGTCTGCTTAGTAATAATCAGGAATTTGAAAATCCAGATCAAAACAACATTCCTCTTCAGTGGATAACTTTGAAAGGAAAATATTCCAACTTCAACGAAAATGGGAACTTAAATACTTAAATGAGGAAGACCAATTTGAATGGTCAGCTTTTAAATATTTACATTTAAAATATTGGTCAGTGGAGATTTGCAGCGAAAATTGTTCTAAGCAAACCCAATTTGCCTAATGTTTAGCTTGGAAGGAATCTTCTGGCTTCTGTTTTCAGAATAAATTTCTAATAACTTTGCTTTAGGTGCAAGACCAAAGAACGGAATATGGATTCCATTAAGGCCTGTATTTATATCTGTTTCAAAACAAAACCTTTTCTTGTTTGTTGGATGGAATGCCGCCAATTTTACCCGTACATATTAATATTTTAAAGGCGTTTACCTTGTAGGAGAATCTTGCCTTAAACGCTTCTAACCCCTTTTGCGCCTGAAATAAAATGCGAGGAGGAGAACATCTTAGACATAAATTGGAGGAGGAGGAGGAGAGGAAGAAGAAGAAGGGATCCGCATATAATAAAATAAGTAAAAAGTAAAATGTCCTATTGGTTGAAATAGTTCGGAGTCCTTTTCAAAACTCGCAGATCGAGAAATGGAGTAATTGTCAAAAGACTAAAATATTCCTATAAAAATTAAAATGCACTAGAAAAACAGGATCCCCAGGAGTGGGGGGGGGGGGGGGGACGAACCTCTGCAGATCTACAGTATACCACGCTAAATTGTGCTGATAAAATTATGCTGGAAAGCCGCGGCCGCCGCTTCCGCCTCCTCCTGCCGGACCTCAACAAATAACAAAAGAGACGCGGCGCTTCAAGAAGGAAAGCTCCGGGCCCTTCCAGCCGGCGGCGCGCGGGCAGGAGTCTTCGGGCCCGGTCTGCGGCTCAATCGCCGTGACGGAGTCAGAGCGCTCCGTTGCAGTCAAAGCTTTTGTGCAAACGGCGGACACCTTCTTGGCTCGCAGGTCTGGCGGGCGGCGTCCAGCTCCCGGGAACAGCCCTGTGTTACACTTCCAGTCCCGACTCTTTTGGGGAGGGGAGGGGGAGGGGAGGGGAGGGGAGGGAAGATAAAAGGCAGCCAGACTAGATTGCTTCCCCTGGTCCTTCAAGATGCCATCTGCAACATCCCCCGACGCCCTTGGAGCCCGAGACCAGAAAGAGCCCGAGCAGAGGGCCGGGCCTCGCCAGCGGCATAGAAAAACCGGGGGAGCGGCCTGCAGCGAGAGGCGGCTGGATTGCCGTTTGGTTCCGCTGGGCTTATCCTGGAGAAGTGGCCGGATATAAAGGCACAGTAAAGGGCCGGCAAAGGGGAGGTGACATGATTCCCTCCGAAGTTGCTACCCAATGGGCGATCCCATTGGATTGCCAACGAGATGCGAGTGGCTTAATTGGACTTGACATCTGTCACCGTGTGGGAGTTTCACAGCCCAAATATTGTCAGTTGGCAAGCTCAGATTCTCCCTTCATCCACAACAACTATTACTCTGGCTAAAGAGGACAGAGGAAGCCCATCCTCCATTCTTTTCTCTCCCGAACAAACGTAGACCTGCACCTGTAGATGGGTTTCCTTAGCGAGCCCTGGAAGCTGTAAGTACTTTCAAAATCCCCAACATCTCCTAGGCACAAACATCCTCAAGACCCATGGATGTGATATGGAAAGCCCCTGTCCTTCTAAAGCCTCATTCTCAAAGTGGTGACACAACCCTTCCATGTATGCATGAGACAACTGTTCAGTGAACATATTCTGACACAGGTACAGAAAGTAGGAGAAAATGGTAATATAGCCAACAAAGAAGGGCAACACAAAACTGTAATGTGGAAAAGGGAAGTTGTACCGTGTACACTGTTCCTCCAGCATCTGTGGCCCAGCTGACTGACTACATCATCAAGTTGCATCCCTCCGTTCTGCAATGCAAGGAAAAGAGGGGAGCACATAGAAAGGTAAGCTGTACACTGTTGACTTTTTGTGGTTGGCTCAAGTCCATACCCCACTCCTTCCCCAAGATCCAGAGGTGGGCAAATCCAAAGGAGACATCCCTAAAACAAGTGTCCATGCAGATTAGTAGGAAAGTATTAATGCACCCCTGGGCAGAGTGTCAAACAGATTAGCAGGAGTTGCAGCTTGACAAGCAGGAAGCTGTGTAATAACACAGAAGGGAGAATCAGAAGGCAGAAGCAAAAGGAGAGAGGAATCCCTATGCTACTGATGTCCTGAGGTATGTGCAATCAAGGGATGTCAGGAAGCTTCAGAGCCCATCCTCAAAGGCTACCTTATGAAAGATGCAGCAGAGCCCAACAGGATGATGAGGACAATGAACAAGAAGAAAGCAGTACCATGGAGAGTGTCATGATCTATTTGTGTAGGTAGGCTTTAACAATCAAAACTATCCTTCATATTTGTTGGTTTTAGGGAAGGAATGGTAGCAGGCTGAGAGACAATGTCCTGGGGATTATCAGGAAAAGCATGAGTGTTGGCATACAGGGAGTTATGAAAAGGGATGACTGTGTATCATTTGTGGGGCAACTCTTTGAGGGACAGAGTGGCAAACCAGCTTTTCCGAAGCAGAGAACATAGAATAGAACAGTTTATCTTGAGGTGTCTATCCAGCCACCTTGGCTGGACATCAGCACCCCAGCATCTAAAGTACCATGGAGGAAAGATAGCCAGCCACCTGTGAGAGATGTACTTTGTTAACAATTCCTGATCGTCTACAAAGAGTTGTTTGTTCATATTATTTTCATTCTCAGGCTTCTTTACTTTGCTATCAATGTAGGTGATAAGCAACAATGATGATAGTATACAACTCTGTTTTACTCTGGATGTTACCGTGAAGAGTTTTGATATTCTTTGGTTTGTTCTGTCTACACTTCTGCAATCACTAGATAAATTTCTGCATACTCTAATAAGATGTTCACTTATTCCATATTGGTTCAATGTTTGCCATAGCAATTTCCTATCAACTCTATCAAATGCTTTCTTTTCGTCTATTAATGTGACAAAGTCCAACCCCATGTGTCCACATCATGAGAGGTGGTAACAGGACAAAAGAAGGAATTCCTGGAGTGGGCAAAGTATGACATGGTCTTTTGCCACAGGACTGTTATGGCAGCCATGAAAGTGACTCTGAGTCACCCTGAAATGGCCTAGCTAAAGGGGCTCTGATGAAGTTGTGACAGGCCCAACAAGCTGGCAATGGATAATATATTGCTAAAGAAATTATAATGAGATGCAAATAGACTGATCAAACAAAAAATGACTACAGCAATGTTAAAGGACTAAGAGACAGAACAATAAAATACGAAATAAGAACTTTGAACACTTGGGAAATAAAACAGAAGAAATTGTAGAACTAATGGAAAGGAGAGGGTTCTAGGTAAGGAAGTAGCCACCAAAAGTAAAATAGATATAAATCTATTAAAATATAAATAAAAAACAGCAATTATGTAAATGAATAGGTGTGAAACTTTTGATACCATATTTGATACCATATTTTCTGTTCAACTCCTCCACAATCAAGTGCACATCAAGATATGTTAGTTTGTGTGACTTTAGAAAAACTCTTTTTAGGAAAAACAACCAAACCCTGATCTTAAAAAGTGAGTTATCAATTGTTGCATTTTGTTTAAAAGTACTCTGGTGAAAAGCCAAAGGCATGCCTATAATATGACCAACAAAGTCAATTTCATTTGCTCCAAAAGGTACCAATTGACCAGGTAGGATTCAGATGGTGAAAACCAGCCTAACACAGTAATTAAAAGTCCTAACCATTATTTCAGGTTTAATTGAGTCTACACCAATTTCTGCACACAAAAATAGGTATACTATTTAAGAAATTTACCCTGCAGTTTGAAAAAAAATCAATATCATGGAGATTTCACTCTCTAATACTTTGCT